CCCCCCCGTCCCCTTCCCTCGCCGCTAGCTGCGGCTGTAGGACCTGGCTGTCCGCTTGGAGGTCCTGGAAACCTGTTCCCTCTGCCTGTCCAGCTAAAGGTTATCCTGTCTGATGCGTGTTTTCACAGTGCTTTTCTTCTCGAGTCTTGGTGTCGGTACAGTTGTGTTTGTGCTGTTATAGCCACGTTATGTTAGAAAGGTGCATTTCTGCTAGTAAAACTGTATCTGTAGTGAAGAACTCTTGCTTTCAAATACTTTGCCTTCTTCCTGTATGTGTCTTGGCATTATTTTCTGGCAGTTGAAGCAAGAGCAAAGTGATGCAGAACCGTGGGTGTCATGAATGTGTGGAAGCCTTTATACGTTTCTGTCTGAAATGGACAATAGAGAAACTGTAGTCCTGCACTTGGCTTATGCTTTTGTATTTCTTTTTTTGTCTTTATTTACTGTTTCTGATTAGAGTCCTCAATGTCAATGTATGCATTCTTTGGCTGCAAGTGAGTAAGCTTTAAGTATTTAACAGTCCAAATGGTATTTTATTGCTATGACTGCAAAGCATAGCTCTGAAAAATCAAGTCACTAGACTTATGTTTATGTGACTGTTTGCTCAGTGGAAAAAATTGAATGGTAATCAAGAACTCTGGTTTTTACAGTAGAAGAACTGCAAAATAAATATTGCACTTTAAACTTGCATCTTATGTTAGTTAACTTGGAACATAGAGAAGTGCCTCTGTATGGTCAGACCCTTAGAAGGGAGAGGAGGGGCAACAGGTATTACAGGTATTTCATAAAGTTACTTTTCTGTCACTTGATGTCATAAATGACTGTGCTTCTAGTTAGCTGCAGCATATTTCAAATTTCATTTTATTTCTGTCTCTCATGGCTTGCTTTTCTTTCATACCCTGATAGGTGCTTGTGTAGTTGTATCTCACTTCTGAAGTAGCTTCTTAAGACAAACTGACATGTTTGCTAGTACTAATTTGTCTATATTCCACTATATGCCAAGTCTTTGGTATGTTTGGCCAATTTTGTGTGGTTTCTCTCAATTTTGATAGTTTTCTGTTTGAAGTAATTGTACTTGTGATACATTGATGAGGGCTACGCTATAAAGTCAGACTTGTTTTGCTGTGTTGTTCAGTTTCATAGATGTTTTATAACTCAAATATTATGAAGACACTTAAATGTGGATTAGATGCATGGAATTTTGGAAGTTAATGCAAGCGATGTCACTGCAAAATTTTAATTTTTTTTATGAATAGTAGATTTCTTTGATATCCTTAAATACTGTATCTGAATTAAACGGATGCCTTTTTAAATGAATATTCTTGCAGATACGCATTTTTGCCAAGACACTTAAATTCTGGGAAAATCAATTTAACATGCAGTAATATCACTGTGAATCTCGAGTCCAATGAAGACAAAGATTTTCCTGGTTAAAATATAAGAAAAACTATGTTACAAAAGTGTGTTATGTTGTTCTCGCCTGATGCAGGTGAAAATAGTTTACTTCTCTCTGGGAATTTGACAATAGAATAGAGAGTATGAATAAGCATTTTAATAAGACCTGGCTACTGTGATATGTTTAGAGAGAGATTGGATGCTGCTGGCTTTACAGCCTTCAAATCAGAGTCCGGAACTCGAAAATGAGTCAACAGTTAATGAGATTTCCAGAAGTGTCGAAACAAGCAGTACTATCTCTTGCTGATATTGGTATAACTTTGATTATATTAAGCTGAAGGTGTATTGAACAAAAGGTGTATTGGTTTGTCCAAATGTATATGTTAAATATCTTTCCTATGTAAAAAGTGAAAATAAACTACCTCAAAGAGTAAAGATAGGATATATGTGTTTTCCTTCTGATGTTACTGCCCTCGGTACGAATACTTCTAAATGCTGATATGTTGCTTTGGAGATCTGCCTGGGGGGTTATGAAGTAACTGTTCTCTGTGAGAATAACTAAATTATATAGTTACACTTTTTTTCCTCTCTCTCTCTCTCTTCTAGGTCCCTGTTCTTCAAACAAACAATAGTCCCAGTCTAATAGGATTAATTACCATAGCTGCCCATTTAGTTAAACAGGCTAAGAAGGAAGAACTGCTTGGAAGTACTGCAGAAGAGAAAGCTGTTGTTCAGCAATGGTTGGAATACAGAGTGACTCGAGTGGATGGGCGCTCTAGTAAAGAAGATACTAGAATAATTCTGAAGGTAAAGATTACTTAATTACCTTGCCACTGAAGTTTGTACTGTCTAGAGCCTAAGGGAGATGATGCTGAGAAGATGCTGAAAACTTCTCAGAAAACTGAGAAGATGCTGAAAACTTGACTGTATCTGCAAACAAACTATATGAAGCTGAACTCCTACCCTCTTTTATGGCTGTAAACTACCTAGTGCGTTCCAAATCGTTTAAAGATTGTTCAGTTTTATAGTTTCCTGTGAAACTCGTAAGACACTGGCTTCTTCTTTTCTTTATAAAAATCTCAGTTATAAACAAATTGTCCTGTGTTGTATTTCAAGATAACTGTGCTCTGCTAGTTTTAAGAGCTGTTCTTCTTGATTTGATAATATGGTATATAGATCCCTACTTGACGCTTTGGTAATTGTTGTGGATAACACAATGAGTTAATGGACAGAACTGTATGTGAAATGCTAAAAAGTGGAAATCATAGGGGAGCCTGTGCAAAATTGTCCTTCCCGTTGAGCTACATATGTCTGGAGACTTTAGTCAACTGTATTAAATTCTTCTTGTAGTTTGATGCTCAGTCCTCCTTCAAAAGAAGCAGAAAGAGGAAGCAGAAAAAACCTCAAGGGTCACACAGGTGTTTGAGCAGCCAGATGGCAGGGAGTAGATTGAAAAACTTATTCTATTTTCCTTCTTACTCCTTCTGACTGGTAATTAATATTTTTTGCAACCTTATGGGATCAAAGCTTGAAGAGAAAAATTGTTTCACACTGGTCAGTGCTAAGGGCTCTGAGTAAATGGGTGCAATACAAGAGTGAAATTTGGGCAGTTCTAAAAGTGTTATTTTTTGTTTGTTCTCCTTATTTTTTTTTTTTATTTTGAAAGTCTCTCTGTTTTATAGAGAAAGTGCAAAATTCTTGCTGCTACTAACTGGCTTGGGTTTAGAAACAGCTTTGCGAGGTGTTGGCAAGGTTCACTGTACCTGAGGTTAGCGGAGTCTTAAGAAGTATTCTGACTCCTGCTAGGTGTGGCTAGTCTGAGTCAACTGAAATTATAACAGAAGGCTGTTAAGATTTACTGAAGTAGCAGTCAAGAGGAAGAGTTAACATCCTGTATAACTTAAAGTGAAGCAAAAGGCACCTTAAAATCCTGTGAAACAAAGCCTTGTGAGTGATTGGTTGTTCTTTTCAAACTAACAGCCTGCTTGATCTGGAGGACATGGACCAACATCCCTGACCGATGTTAACAGAGGTGCACTTCGGGCAAGCTCTGAAGAACCGTTTATCTCACTTATATCTCAGATAATATGAGCTATCCTGATTTTATTGTATATATGGAATATCTTCCACTGCTTAGGCATGTGCGTTTACATTTTTTTTCTCTTATTTGTAATATCACTGGTTCTGCTGTCTACACGTGGATGCTCTGAAAGCCTTTACAGTCATGGTTAGTCAACAGATACTCATCAAAATTCCTTATAATCTCCATTCTTAGAGATCTTCTAAATTCTACTAATAAGACATTGTGTTAAACTTCAAGGTTAGCTCTGTTTTAAACAGGAGGTAGAACTAGGAGGCCTTCAGAGGTTCCTTCCGACCTAAATTTTTCTGATTTTTATAGAAGACAGTCTAACGATATAAAACTATTCATCACATGAATAATACATTAGGAATTAATAATTTGCCAGATCGTTATTAAATTCATAATCTGCTAAGTACACTACAAACAAACGAATTAGCACTTTGCAAAGGTTTGCCTTGTGTCTAAATAACAAAAATTAAACGAAAGCCGGGGGAACTCCAACCCATCATTACTTTAATAAAGAGAATCATGTTGACTTTCTGTTACTCTGGCTGGTAGAGTTCCAAGTCACCTAGATACCTGTCCTGGAGGACAGACCCTTCCTGTTTGCTTCAGTGCAGCTTATTCAGAAACAAACAAAAACCCCTTTATGGTTAATATGTAACAAATGCTAGTCTTCTCTCTTGGCTTCTAACAAACTTCTGATGTCTTTTGTGCTGTCTCAAACTATGAGAAGACCATACAAGAAGAAATAGCTGCCTTTTACTTATCTTTCTTACTCTTCTGTGTTATAAGTGCAAAGGAAAGCTTTCTGTCTTGTTATAACAAAATGTATCTGCTCTAACTGGCTAGGTGATGATACCTTCTTTGTCAGCACACACATCTGGATAGGTGCAAAACTGCATTTGGGTATTAAAACCAGACTTAGAAATATGATAGCTGAGTGGTGAAGCTAATTCCTTTTTTTCAATTTTTAGCCTTAACAACACTGGCAGTTAGAAAAATCAGCAGTGTGCTGAAATACAAATGTGTAGGTAAATGAAGTATTTCCAAACAAAACAAAACTTCATTACTGGGAACGTTGTCACTTGTGGGAGAATCTCAGCCTTTATCCTGTCCTAATAACTTCTTCATACTTTCTTTTTTTTCCCTCCTTAGCAGATGTTGAGTGGCAAGGATTTATCTTGACACAGGACTGCTGTGGAGTTGTTCTAGCATTAATAATTTCATAGTGTAGCAATTAAGATTTTTTTTTTTAATCTGTTCTCTTGCCACCACGATTAATCAGAACAAAAGGCAGTCTGCCATTAAAATATACTATGCCAAAAGGGAGTGTGTGTGGGGAGGGGGGGCAAGAATAAAATAGGGAGGCAAGTCTGAGACTGTAGTTTTACAATGTGTCTGGAATACACAGTGGCAGTCTTGGGACGGTTGCAGCCTAGAGCCACAATTTGTAATAAGCTGTGCCAAAAACAGTCAGTTGCTTCTGCTGTGAACCCTAGGCTGCCTCTATTTAACTCTTAAATGAGGTGATGTCTTGAAAAGCCTCAGTAACAAACTAGTTTTTTGATTTAAACAGGAATGGCTTTCTTTTTCTAAGGTCTTAAGAAAATATGTTTGTAAGTTGATCTTACTGGCACGTTGACTGAAGCTATTACTTGACCCGATAACAATCATAAAGTAGTTGGTCTATTTTGATCAGAATTTTTGTATTTAGTCATGTCAAATGACGTACTGTTTAGAACCCATCAATGGCAGTGTTTTTGTAGTTTTGTGTAACTTTTGATTGGGGCTTCTCTGCTGGACGAAATAGCAGGATCAATATCTCTAGACTGTTCTTCAGCATACACCTAGGAATGATGATTGTCAGTAATGGATGATTGCTTAATTTCCAATGCATTAAGCTGCTCATTGTCCTCTCCCTGGATGAGACAGTATTTTCTTTTGCCTCTGGTCCACTGTGTGACTTTTGGTTAATGGAGAATTAAGTTGCACAAGAAAAATCTGCAAAACTGCTGTGCTTGATGCCTAATAGGGTTCTTCATACATGCTTTTTTTAACCCTGCATTTGCCTTTGTGTTGTGTCTGAATGAAATTCTGTAGAACTGTAGTTTGATCTTTGAAGTAATCTGAGAGCTAAGTAGTATGAACAAATTAATAAATAGTGTAAAGGGGGAGAGTGGGAGCTACAGGGGCAGATTACCTTAGAGAGTTTTAACTGTGCAGGACTTTAAATCCTCCATGTTAGCTCTAATAAAAGAAATCAAGCCTGACATTAGGACATCTAACTATTATAAACATGCAGAGGAATTGTCAAGAAGAGGTTATCCAAGAAATAATAAAATGGTATAATGGTGTCAGATTTGCCAAATTCAGATGCAAGGTCAGATGTCTGATATTTTAGGAAATACTTAAATACTGAGATTTCATATATACACTGTAGGATATCTCCATATATTTGAGACATTAGGATTATGGAACAACAAAAACTGCAATACACTGAAGGCTAAACCTAGTTTTCATTTGTTCACTAATGATTTTTCTGTGATAGTTTTATTTAAAACAAGAAATCCCCTTAAAACGGAGCATGCTGAAATTGAGATTGATAATTTATTTTAGAGACGTTTGGAGAAACATTAAAGCAGCTAGTCCTGAAGCTGCTTCTTTCTGTTTCCAGAAAGAAAAAGATTGTGCAAGAAAACTGGCAGGAATACTCTGAGAAAAGAAGAGAAAGGAGTGCACTACTATAGGGCTTTTAACCAGTAGAAGAATATTAGCTGGAAGCTTCCAAATTCAAGGAAAAGCTAGGAAACTGTTCTCCTACATCACTGAAAGGAATATAATAAAACTACGGATTGTTTATGTTGGGATTGGGATTAAAGTATTTTTTGTTCACTTTCATGTCTTCCCCTTTAGAGGGAGGGAAGGAGGCAGTTAGGTACATGAATTGGATGGTAAATAGGTAAAATGTGGAGGACAGGAAGAGACTGCTTATGGACAGCTTAAGAGGTAGAGCTAAGTGATACCTGTATGTGTTTTGGTTAGTTGGGTTTTTTTGTCTGTTTGTTTTTAAGAATTGAGAAGCTTAAGAGCAATGATGAGTCTGTCAGCCTTCTGTTTTCCTGCAGAGAAGGACTGTATGTGAAGAGATGTGAAAAAGGGTGCAGAAAAACACGCTCCTTCTTCCGCACTACAGATTTGAAATATTCTGTGTATAGCTTTCAGTGCTATTCAGTGAATCCAAATGAAAGTCTCCAACTGCCTACTCATATAGTGTCTGACATGGAACTGTTAAAGTCTTTCAGAGAAATGCTCTTAAAATATTGAAGCAGTGCTCTTTTTGTGTGGACTTGGTACAGAAACTGAACTCATGGTATCCTTATTAAGAATTTCTAGCAATGATTTCGGCACTAATAAAAATTGATGTTGAGTGGTACGAGTTGATAAGTATCAAGTTTCAGGCACTGAGCTTGAAAGGCGTTTTGTTTGACCTCCACCTTGCTCTCTCTTTGTTTCACTGGCATCTTACATGTTTGCAGTTCCAGAACTTTGTTAACCAGCTGCATTGAGTGTGTGGAGTCCTGGAGTGCAGGATAAGCTGCTGCTGGAAGAGCAGCGTGCTCCCCTCTGAGCTTAAGCCTGTACTTGCCACTTAACAAAATATTGTGTACAGAACACAGGTGCTCATATGAGTCATACATATTAGTCACAAATACACAGTTCTGGCATTCTGGAATTGCAGTAACTTGAGGCCTGCGAAATACAGATTTGAAAGCACTTATTTCTTTGGAGTCAGCTACCAATGTACAACAAACCATGCTGCTATATTTACAAAAATTTGAGTGAGGTGAGGGAATTATGAAACATTATGTGCCAGCAGAGAACTGACTACCTCTTTATTTAGAGACTAACATTTTAAATTCTGTTGAATTCTCACTTTAAAGAAGAGTGATATTGTAAGTTATTAGCTTTACTCTTTTGAGATTTTTTCCCCCTCTTTTACTGAGTTCAGACAAATTAAAGCTATCATTTATTTCACGTGCATGGTCTTCAAAGGAATTTGTCTTTTTTCTTTTTCTGTTTTTTTTTTTTTTTAAGCCTTAATAAAAAACTGTCTTATACACTGGTGTAATATTGACTTCATGACTTTCCTTTTTAGGATCTTAACACGTATCTTGAAGATAAAGTCTACCTTGCAGGAAACAGTTTTACCTTAGCAGATATTTTGATGTACTATGGACTGCATCCTGTCATGGTAAGTGGTGTTTACATTACTTCCCGACATACAACTATTGTTATTGTGGATTTACCTAAAATCACTTTGTTACTATAGAAATTGACCTACTAAATTGATCGATGACAACTATAGAGCAAAAAATGGAGAGATTTCTTGTAAGAACTTCAAATACAACTTACTTTTAAGTGCTAATTTTTAACTTTTGTCAATAGCTAACTATGGGTCTGTCAAAAGGAGTATATTCTCTGCAGTATGCAGAGTACTTTAGTTTTCTGTGTGTAGCGTAACATAACGTTAACACCTGTCCCTGTGATCGTTAGCTATCAGAACTCTTATTTGTTCACATCTGAAACATTACTGCTTACAGAATATGGGAGGAAATAGATAATGAAAGTGAAAGAATGTGTTAGAAGTGAAAGATAGTGTCAGACCTTGTCAGTATTGGAGCAATGCTACTGGTGCTATGAGAGATGTACTTAATTCAAGTTCCTGAAGGATGAATGCATATAAAAGTGTCACGCATACTGAAAGGGCTGTTTGTGTTCAGAGACTTGATAATAAGAGCTGATAACATAGAATATGAAAATAAAATGTGGAACTGGTACTTACTAAAAGCAAAAATAAAAGCTTCTACTGAGTGAGGATGTTGAGATTCTTCAGTTCACATTTAGCTCAGGGTATGCTATGAAGCGCTTATAAAGCATTGCACCTCGATTTTGAACGCAAAGAGGTATTTTAAGAGAAAAGCAATAGAAGATACAATCACGTGCCAACTATCAAAATACCAGTAAATGAGTGGGCCTTCCCCAGAGCGGGTACTACTAAACAAACCAAAGGCACTGTACAAAAGGTCTGCTAAATTATCTGGAGAAAGTAGGATCAGTCATTTTTACATTAGAAAACAGGAAAGGTTATTTTCAGAAGAGATACCTAATTGAAATGCCTGTGTGGCTAAGCATCAGTCCATTCAGTCAGTTGAATGGATCATTACTTTATACAGTAAAAAGCAGAGTCCTGGCAGAGGACTCAAGAATATATGTTCCAAAAGAGAGGCTAAGGAGGGTAAAAAGAAGAAAAGACAGGTAGTGAGATATTACTAAAACAAAAGAGAACTTAACATATATATCTCTTGATTGTCCAGGAATAAAAGTTCAAAAGAGACAGTGTTAAGCAGAGGAGTGGGAAAAGCAGCTTGATTTCTGAAGCTTTTTGAAAACATGTTAGAGTAAGTCACTTGGAATTAGTTATGTTAAGATTTTTTTTTTTTTTAAATATGATTTAAGTAGTAAGGTAGATATGCTGACTAGAATGTTGGAATCAGTAATCTCTCAAATATAATGGCACAGGAAGGTATATAAGTACTTTTAAAAATATGACTCTGTATGCTGGAAGAGAATGCAAGTACAGATGAGATATTAAAAAAAAAAAATTAGGCAGGGGAAAATCAAGCATATTTTAGAGTTTGCTCTAGAGTAGACCACCTAATCAAGGAAAAAAGATACAAGTTATTGCTTTGGGAAATAGAACAGATGGTAAAAACAAATGACTTAGTGCTCCTGGGTGCCTGCAACCATCCAGACACTGCTTGGGACAAGTTTATAGTACAACATCTGTTTCTGAAATGTTTGATTTCATGGAAGATAATTTTCTGACTCAGAAAGGTATAAAGGGCAAATAATGGGGTTGCTATCCTAAACAGAGGAACAGCGTAACCAGGAACTGGTATATTTTGCTGAGTTGGTTAATACTAACTATTGATTAGTAGGTGAGATCTTGAACTAGGGAAAAATCCGGCGGGTTTTGTGTGTGTGTGTGTGTGGAGGAGGTGGGGGGGTGGGAGTATTTCTACAGCTTCTTCTCTGTCTCAAGCTTTAGGCAGAAAAACTGCTCTATCTTTTAACGTGATGCAGTCCTGGGAACCAGTTTGTCAGATCCACCACTGTTTCAGCTAAACAGTGCGCAGGTCTTCAATAGATCTTTTCTATAATTGTGGCTTCAGGAGCAGAGGCAGAAATGCAAAAAAAAAAAAGCAGCGGAAAAGGGGGGGTGGGGGGAAGTAGTTCTTATTCTCCAGCAGTATCTCTAGAAAATTAATCTCAAAATGTTACTGGCAGTGACTTTTAGAATTAATCTGTCTGCTTTTGATGAACTAAAAATTAACACTGACATTAATAATAAGATACTGTCTATTAGTGACATACCACCATCTTCCTGAATGGATCAGGTTAAAAGAAACTTTAAAAGAAACTTTAAATATCTTCTGATGCACACTTCATTAGAAATTTTAAGACCACCCACTGTTATCGCTTATTCTTTTACCTGCTTTGGCATCTTTCTTTCTCAGTGTTTCTGAATATAAATTGTATATATTTCTTCCTTCCTTCCTCCCCCGTTCATTTTGCACTTCCCATTATAGCAATACCAAAAGGAAGACTAGGGAAAATGTGGGCCCACTGCTGAATGGGGCGGGTGCCCTGGTAACAAAGGATATAGAGAAGGCAGAGTTACTGAATGCTGCCTTTGCTTCAGTCTTCACTGCTAAGGCCAGTCCTCGGGAATTCCAGACCCTGGGGACAAGAGAGGAAGGCTGGAGAAAGGAAGACTCTCCCTTGGTGGAGGAGGATCAGGTTAGAGATCTTTTGTCCAAACCTGACATCCATAAATGCATGGGCCCCGATGGGATGGACCCACGAGTGCTGAGGGAGCTGGCCGATGTTATCGCTAGGCCACTCTCCACCATCTTGGAAAGGTCCTGGAGATCAGGAGAGGTGCCTGAGGACTAGAAGAAAGGCAATGTCACGCCAGTCTTCCAAAAGGGCAAGAAGGAGGAGCCAGAAAGGCCTGTCAGCCTCCCCTCCATCCCGGGAAAGGTGATGGAACAGCTCCTCCTGGAGGTCATGACTAAGCATCTGGAGGACAAGCAGGTGATCAGGAGTAGTCAGCATGGATTCACCAAAGGGAAATCATGCTTGACCAATCTGATAGCCTTCTATGACGGAATGACTGGCTGGGTAGATGAGGGCAGAGCAGTGG